CTTCGCACCATTGCGTCACAATTGTCAGCTGTGGTCGAGACACACAACCCATGAAGAGTAGGATATTTACGTGACGTGTCTTCCGAAGGACTGCCACTTCATTCTTGAAAGCCTTTACACACAAATCCAAACACAATATTAGACATCATTGAGAGACAAACCAAATGCCAAACAGCGGATCAGTAGTGATATCGCACCTGAAGCTGAGCGGGTGTGGGATCCGTGACATTAAGTTTCTTGAGAGCGACGGGTCCGTGCCAATGACCCTGGTATACCGTCCCAAAAGAGCCCGACCCGATTCGCGGTCCCGTAAGTATCTCTTTGAGTGGTATCTCCCAGTCTTCGATCGATTCGCGTCCGCCAGAGTTGGGTCTAATCTTTTTGGAGGACTCGTCGGCCGATCGGGCCCTCGGCCGCGAGCGCTGACGAATACCAGTCGGCGAACCGCCGGCCGATTGGGTGGTTGTGGGCGATGGAGACGGAGATAAGGAGCTCTGATATCCCGACGTAGAACTGGTAGCTCTCGTACCAGAGGAATGGGGCGGATGTAAGTTACTAAACGCACCTTTACGTCAAACAATTCATATAAAATTCATTAATATTTATGTATTTTAAACGCGATGTAAACTACACATACTGTAAGTCTAATCACTAAAAAGCAACAAAAATATGGCACATGTTTTAGTCACCAAAAGACTAGTCAATAAAAAACACATCAATACTAACTCTAATCATAAGATATTTAAATATAAGAAGTTAGACACCGATTGTATGGATTGGTTCGTCGAGAATTCAATGGAGAGATACAGTAAATGCGGGCAAAACTATTGACGAGGCTTTCCGTCAAACCAATAAATTGTATTCAAAATTACAGTCAGACCTCAATTAAGAGATATAATGACGAAAAAAGTGATTCAGTTATAGATAATGTGTGAAAGCATGCAATTAATGAGTCGATCACAGGATCGATATGTAAATCATTGCAATTTGTTGTGGCAAACATACCGTCCCATGAATTAATGAAAATAATAATTAAAAAATCAAAGTAAGCAATGAAATAATTATTTTTAAAAATAAAAACCTAAAAACTGATGACCCGAATGGGTGAATCAAATGGAGACATACCGCCAGTGAGTGTACGGATCTCATCGATGGTAAGATCGTTATGAGAGACTAGATTGAAGCAGACGTTGGGCGCCGAAGTGGACCTCTCTCTCTGGTCTAAGGGCGTCAAGCGATGAGTTTGCGATGGCTGTGAGGGTTGAGATGAGACCTGCGGTTGCGACGAGTTCAAGAGATGTGTTGTCTGATCGTTGAGCGCCAGGAGGTGTCGGTAGTAATTGGATTGAGTGCGCGGTGGTTGGCACAGGGAGGGCATGGCGTTGGCGCACCGCTGGTGGAGCCGAATGCCGCACGTCTGGCACCGGAAGCCGTGGAATAGGAACCGATGACAGCACTCACAGAACGCTAACGTGAAGAATGTTTTGCGAACCTATCGGACAAACCATCACTCAATTAATAAGACAACAAATTGCAAACCATATGAGAGACAAGTCATACATAATTGTGCGAAATACTCGTCTGGATTGGGAACCGTTCGCGAGTCTCGACTAAAATCTCCTGTCCCTCCAGTAATGCTATATCTGTGTCCCATTCGATGGGTTGTCTGTAAAACAATATCAAATGAGTCTATAATAAGACAGACAGACGACTGACACATACTTGTTGTGGTATATGAAGACAGAGCACATCTCAGGCGTGAGTCGGCGTCTCCTCATGGCTTTGGCCAACGCCTCGCGTACTGTCTGTCCCGGATATACGGGAACAGTAGTGCGCTGTTGATTGGGAAGGTGTGCCCGAATCACTGGCTTCAGCTTCGGAGTCCGCGGTTGACTACTACTACTACTACTGCAGGACCCGGAACTGGCGGTCGCCAACAGCTCGTAGTTGTGGCCATCGATGTCAATGGGCGAGTCCTCGAGGTCGCCGTAATCGGCGATCAGTTCCAACAGCTTCTCCTCCTGTCTCTGAAACTCGTTCAGTTTGGACGTCAGGTCCTCGTACTCTGCGATATACATGGAGGGCGGGTGCTGGTGGTGGGCGAACCGGGCGTTCAGGGCCTCCAGATTGCCTTTTGTCAGACGAATCACGTTCTGAATGTTTCGTAACTTTTTAACGTCAGGTCCTCGTACTCTGCGATATACATGGAGGGCGGGTGCTGGTGGTGGGCGAACCGGGCGTTCAGGGCCTCCAGATTGCCTTTTGTCAGACGAATCACGTTCTGAATGTTTCGTAACTTTTTTAAATACAAGAAAACTTTAATTAGTCTTAAAATAAATAAATAAGTCTAAGCTAGTGAACCATTAATACTATGTTTGGATAAAACAAACAAAAAACATGACTTTCTATGAGTGCACTAATTTTAATTAAAAAACAATATAAACAATCAATCGTTAATTAATATAATTTGGCAGCAGGGCATGTCATATACGGTAATTATATAATGCTATATCTGAGACAATAAATTGAAACAGAGTCCTAATTGTATATTATAGTACTTTCAATCTTTCAAATTTATATTTATAGGTTTATATTATTTAGAATTATCTATTTATTAAATTATTTATATACTGTACAGCATTTTTTGTATTTAAGCTAAAAAACTCAAGTCTACTTCGATATGTCGGCTCAGATATTTATTTACAAAAACAACTTTTATTTATAAGTTAATAACAAAAAAAGCAAAAACTAATTTTAAAAATAATTGTTTTAATTTGTACCAAAAACCCAAAAGAAATGCTTTATGCAAT